AAAAAGATAATGGTTTAACAGCTGGTTTTTTATTCGCAAAAATTAATTCGCGAGCAGAAGCAAAAAAGGCAAATTTCTTTGACAAAAATGTATTCATTGTCGGAACAATTTTTTTTCGTTTGAAACGAAATGCGTGCTAAAGTGCATCGACAGCCGCATACCTATGCCGTTTAAGTTTTTAATATGATGACACGCTGACGCTTATTGCGATGGTGCTCGGAATAAGAGGTATGCAAGATATATATGATGGGATATGCGATGATAAAATAAACGGAATGCATGCATGGATGATAATTGCCCTTTCATTATGCGTCAGCTTAATCTGTTTTATGTGACGCTTCAATTTCGTATATCATACTCGGCGAAGCGAGGGCGCGCAGCGGGTGCATGAAAAATATCCCAAAAAGACTAACAATAAGTAATCAAGGTTTGCGAATTAAAAACGGAGAAACGAGCAGATGTTAATATATGAGCACGTCCACTGTCACTTTCATCATCGCAACGTAAGCTATTGGCAAAAGATAGCAAAATGCAAATAGAAAATGATAGTTTTCCAAAATAATCGTATTAATCGCAGAAATAAAAAGTAAGAGGAACACTGATTCTTAAACGCACACTAAATAATTTCACAAAAATATTGTTACGTCCAGTAGACTCCACGACAGGTATAAAAACATAATTCGCTATAATTATTACAATTAACAATTAAATAAATTTTGATAAACAATACAAAACTGTATCGCAATAATAGTTTTTTATCGAAGCGCGTATTTCGCGCGATTATTTATTATTTCAAATAAAAATCGAACGGACAGGAATACAAATTATTATTTCGTTGCGATCTTTACGTATAATAATTATTTCTCTAACAATGCTTAGAAACAGATATATTTTGTCACTTTAAATTTTTCGCCGATCTAAATTTAATTTATTATTCAGATTGAAATCGCGCAATAAGATACGAATCTCAAGATCGAGTGATTAACGTAATGAAAGGCCTAATAATCGTTTAATTAATAATTAATATATAATTTAAAACAATGTATAATTTGTCTTCGAACATAAAAAATCTTATTTTTCGTTTGAAAAATATGAATTGAGTTTGAGCCTATCGATTGATCGCCTTTTGCAGCAAAGCCGAGATGAAAGCCTGAGGTTGGGTGTTTATTCTGCATTGCAGTGCCGGTACCTCACGGTCTAATGGCGAACTTCATTCTCTTTCATTGACCAAGACATGTAAAAAATATTCGCGGTCGAATATACAGTAGCGATATAATGTTATCAACTCGTCCACCGTTCGCGGATTTCATCGATAACAATTTATCTTCCACAACTGTCATACTCATTAAAAATTGCCTATTATTATTTAATTGAGTCAGACTTATATTTTTATCTTTCATTAATCACATATTATATATATTAAATACTTTATCATTATTTGAATAATAAAATTCTTTTTCACGAAAAATATGCGCATTATATTTAAAAAAATTTTATGATGGTATCTTTAATAATATATTGCGTGAGAACAATGTAAACCAAAGTCACACTTATGCAATGTCTCTTAAGAAATAGTTGTACGCAATCGATTGGTATTGCGAGTGGAAAGCTCGACGGAATTAAAATTGCTTTCGGTCTCGGAATTGCCGCATCAATTCGCAGGATTTCGCGAAAAGCGGATGTTCATTGTCTTCATCGACGTGGTCACTCACGTGGCGAGAGCTGTCGCATAAGAATTATACCTCTTACGGCATACGCATATTGCATAAAGATAACGAGTATCACATGCGATCAATGAGACGGGCAATAAACTCTCTAGTTACGGCTGTCACTCAATTGCGACGGAATTCCGTCTGCTTTGTTTGTCATTGCTCAAATGTAAATTCCGTAGCACTGTCCTCGCATACTTTCACCGTTATGTTCCGCAAGAACAATCGTTATATTTCCTTACAATAACTTGTTGTTTTCGCAGAAAGGCAATTATTTTTTAAATAATCTTTCCTTTTGTTTTGCGATTGTCTGTCTTTATTTTTAAATTTAATAATTTAAGAAACTGGTAGAAAAAAACAATAAAAAAATAATAATTGAGAAAATAGCACTATCTAAAATAAGTAAAACAATAATTAATAATGTTTCTAAAAAGAAAGAGAGATATTTATAAAAATTTGCTCGAAATTTAATAACGTAAGGATATCATCTATTTAAATCCGGGATGACGTTATTAAAAGTAAGAGATAATTAGCGGCGCAATTATTAGTGCGATCGACACGTTATTATTTCCACACCATATGATTCTCACAGGCGAGGTGTTCGATACAAGATGGAAAAAAAGCGGTACGCTTCACTATATTGCACCGCGATATTCCGCATCACCCTTATTACTGCCACGCTAAATGTCAAGAAGTTCTCTTCTCTTATATGATCGGGAAAGTTCTGGTTTAAGCTAACGATTCGTATAATTACATAATCAATTCTCATCGTTTATACGATTGTGCACAAAATGTGAAATCGCTACAATAATCTTATTTTTTAATTTTGAGATTATTACTACGATAAAAATGACTTGGAGATTAACGCTATGATAATCTCATTTTCGCAATATTGCTGAAAAGATATTCAATTCATCAATACGATCCATTTGTTAATAAGTATGTAATATATAAAAATGTGAAAAGAATAATTGATATACTAGAAATAACTTGTTATTTTTTGTGATATAGAAAAATTAAAGTAAATTTTCATAAACAAAATATACAAAATAAATTTACAAAATTTATTATGTTATTATTAATTATATAAGATATACAAAATTTATTACTGGGAGATATATTACAAAGAATACACTTTCCAATCATAAAATTTAACTTTTCCAAAATGTTGTATGTCTGAATATTTTGTCGATGGATAGTTAACATTACATTTAAATACCAAAAATCAATAATTAGTAATTAAAAAGTTCTAGAAAAAAGTAATTAAATAATTAATAATTAAAGCGTTGCTATCTCTCTGCAGCGTTGGTTTAGTATTTAGCGTTAAAATCTCCGACATTGAAGTCTCCGCTGTTGAAGTCTCCAGCGAAAAATATATCTTGCAAATGCAGACATCCTTGAAATGAAAATACATGAGAGAGTCTTATATTGCAAAACTGCATTTCTGAAAATCAAGGGCAATTTGCGTGGTCAAGGGCTTCCTCTGACGGCGCGTTATACTTGCATGTTCGCCGGTTATTTAAGCAATATTGAGATGGAATTACTTATCGTCAGTCTCACAATATGTATCCCACAAGGTAATACATAATTTCCCGTCTCAATTTTTCCTCATACACTGAAAAATATAATAGCACAAAATTATTATAATAAAGTACTATCTTCCTTCATTGACTAGTCATAACAATCATTAAATATCAATAATAGCATAAGTGAAAAGTTTCATCGTTTAATAATATCAGAATGTTATTTATACTTTGCACGACAAAAGAGTTCAAGATATCCAAGATTTGTTATTGAGAATAGAGAGGAAATACAAACATATAATTGACATAAGAAGCAATTAATGCTAATATATGATAATATCAAAAAGACAGTACAAGGAAACCTGTTCAGTTTATGTATTTGAATATATTAACATATTCGAAAGTTAGAAAGAGCGAGCAATAACTCTGAACCATCTCTATAGTAATTTAAATCTGCGATTATCGTAAAAATACACTATGCCTATCACAATATACCGTAACTAAATAATCATCGATTCGTCATCGCCACCGTTATTTGTGCATTAGGTGGCGAAAGAGATTGCGTCATAATGCGAGTGAAAATTGGAAGTTAAAAGATGCAAACAGAAATTTTCAATCTCTTTGTATGGCAAACCCGCGTACTGAGATCGGTGCTGAGGTTGAGGCGGAGGTCGGGCCCATGGGCGGGCCCCGCCGCTCCCGAAGGGGGCCTATATAAGTAGACTCGCTCAGCATTATAACGCGATCCAACACAATCACTTCTGCCTCATCAACAACCAGACATGCATCCTCCCGTGAGTATCGTTTTTTTTTTCTTTTCTGTCTCATTTGTTTTGCTTATTCACTATATTAATGTTACACGGTGTTATGATTGAGTGCATTAATTAGTATATTATTTTAGAAATTTGACCGCAATTTTTATAAAATTAAAAATCCTTTATTCTGTAATTTAAAAAAATATACGGTTTTAAAAATCATATTAATTTTATTATAAAAAATAATATATATAAACGTGATATGTTTGTGTACGTGTGTAAAATTTATCGTATTGTAAATATTATATATTGTATATTATAAAACTGTTAATATTTTTAAGTGCATCTTCTTGATAAAGGAAAAATCTCATAATGACTACGTTTAATAATATATATGATATAAACGTGATATGTTTGTGTACGTGTGTAAAATTTATTGTATTGTAAATATTATATATTGTATAATATAAAACTGTTAATATTTTTAAGTGCATCTTTTGCACGACAAAAGAGTTCAAGATATCCAAGATTTGTTATTGAGAATAGAGAGGAAATACAAACATATAATTGACATAAGAAGCAATTAATGCTAATATATGATAATATCAAAAAGACAGTACAAGGAAACCTGTTCAGTTTATGTATTTGAATATATTAACATATTCGAAAGTTAGAAAGAGCGAGCAATAACTCTGAACCATCTCTATAGTAATTTAAATCTGCGATTATCGTAAAAATACACTATGCCTATCACAATATACCGTAACTAAATAATCATCGATTCGTCATCGCCACCGTTATTTGTGCATTAGGTGGCGAAAGAGATTGCGTCATAATGCGAGTGAAAATTGGAAGTTAAAAGATGCAAACAGAAATTTTCAATCTCTTTGTATGGCAAACCCGCGTACTGAGATCGGTGCTGAGGTTGAGGCGGAGGTCGGGCCCATGGGCGGGCCCCGCCGCTCCCGAAGGGGGCCTATATAAGTAGACTCGCTCAGCGTTATAACGCGATCCAACACAATCACTTCTGCCTCATCAACAACCAGACATGCATCCTCCCGTGAGTATCGTTTTTTTTTCTTTTCTGTCTCATTTGTTTTGCTTATTCACTATATTAATGTTACACGGTGTTATGATTGAGTGCATTAATTAGTATATTATTTTAGAAATTTAACCGCAATTTTTATAAAATTAAAAATCCTTCATTCTGTAATTTAAAAAAATATACGGTTTTAAAAATCATATTAATTTTATTATAAAAAATAATATATATAAACGTGATATGTTTGTGTACGTGTGTAAAATTTATCGTATTGTAAATATTATATATTGTATATTATAAAACTGTTAATATTTTTAAGTGCATCTTCTTGATAAAGGAAAAATCTCATAATGACTACGTTTAAAATAATGAATTCTAAAATAGCAGTGGATTAGTGATTAAATTCTTATAGATAAAAAAAGCAACGTTTATATTTTTTTGCGAAGAAATGGATTAATGAACGATGAATTTCACGTAACTCATTTATTCATTAGAAAAACGGAAATACGTAAAAAATTACTGTTTGATAATAACAGAAGTGCGCGTCGTCGTCGCGTCATTCCGACTTTCCTCAAAAATACGTGCACGATGCTTTTAGAAAGTGATCCGAATGCCAAAGTTTTTATGCAAATTTGTGTCACCAGGTGCTGTTTCTCTTGTTTTGCCTCGGCCTTGCGGTCGCCCAGCACAATCAACCGTATCAAGTGACTACACCGGTACCTATTTTAAAACAAATAAACAAGTAAGTGTTAAGATTATGTGCTTAATATTATATAATTGCATAAAAGCGAGAATGCAACGAGTATCTTTGAATTCTTTCGTTGCAACAATTATTTTATCATGTATAATGATAATATGTTATCTTCATAATTTTCTTTTTTATTAGTTTATATTTTTATCATTCTCTGATGAATGAGAAAATCGACAATTCGCAATATTTGTGTTTTTAGACACAACGAGGACGGTAGCTACAGTTATGGCTTTGAAGCAGCAGACGGCTCGTATAAAATCGAATCGAAATATCCGACCGGCGAGGTTTACGGCAAGTACGGCTTTGTGGATGACTCCGGAAATTTACGTGAGATCGAATACGGCGCGTCCAGACGCGGCTTCGAGCCGGTCGGTCCTGGGATAAACGTGCCCCCGCCAACCTTGACCGGCAACAGCATCGCCGGCGCTGGGAACGAGCCCGAGGATGACGGACAATACCGCGAAGACCCGTCGATTTATCATACCGATCTGCGTTACACCAACGGAGAACGTTACGAATCAGCGCCTAAACACAGGCAGCAACCGATCACCTACAATCCGCCGCAGCAGATCGCGCCGGCACCGGTACCGGTAGCTTACAATCAATTAAGGTGAGCAATCGCAATAAACTTTAACGTAGAGATTTGAAAATTTCAATCATAATTTTAATGCAAAATTCTTTGACAGGTCGATATTTTATTATTAATATTGTCATTAAAATATACTCGCAAGAATTTACAACATTTATTTTAAATTAAGAGAATCTAGAAATTAATATGAAAATCAAATTTATCAATCTTAGATTAAAATGCACGCTCAGATTAAAATGCACGCGGGAGACTTAACTCGCCGCGGAAAGAGCGCAAAAGGAGATAACCAGAGAATTAAATGTCAAGTAAATTACTCGAAAGTATCAAGATCGTGACTTGCTCAGCTTGATGGAGAATCGGTCGCACCTTCGTGGCTTCAACGGGAATAAAATCGAGTCGATTAACCTAATTTCTTAACTTTTCAGATATAACGCGCCCGTCAATTACCAGCCGGCGACGGTAAGCCCGCGGATCCAGTCGGAATATCGACCACAGTATCGATCGCAGTATCAACCACAATATCAAGGTCAGCAGTTGCAATCCACGTATCCTTCACCTGCGATTCCAGCCGGTCCCCAAGGACATGCCGCGAGCAGTATCGACGTCAACGCCGGTTTAGCATCTTACACAGTTAATTACAAACGATAAGAAGAGAAAGAGAAAATTGTGTCGTATGTACATATGTCATCGGTAATTGATATTTTAAGATTGTTATTGTGTAAACGTTCATTTAATTATTAATATTATTATCCGAATGTTTCGGTAACAGATTAATTTTTCATGTTAATTCAGCGATAGATAATGGCACAGTTGCATTAGTAGATATCTATGATTAGTTTAATTGTATTTTGGGTTGTACTTATCTTTCATCCTCGCGAGTTTCGAATGAGACAATACTTTCTACCTCTATTTTCTGACGTTTTCTCTACCTCTTTTGCTTCAAGAGAGTTTTTATCTCTCTTAATTAATTAAAAAATTATAACTCTTCTATAATTTATTTATCTTTAATTTCAACTTGCATATGTCTATTTTTTTTTCTCTTTTTCACTTGCAATGACACACATCAGCAATTTATGTGGCGTTTGTGCCTATATACGAAAGACCTTCTAGCATTATGTTTTCACCCGCGTTGCGTTCAATAAGTAATTTGAGATTCGTCAAGAGATCGACATATTGCAATCTTATTTATATATTTAAATACATGTATCATATATGTATACGTATGACACACAAACATATCATGCAATGTTAAGCAAGACAAATCTGTAAATAGAATACAATCTACGATCTAAGATCAATAACGGATTTGACGATTTGAAGAACACGTCATTGAACGATTTACATTGGCCTTGTAATAATATTGAGCAATATATATAAGCGAATAATCTTTAATCACATCGCAAGTACTTGACAATAAATTTCAGTTGCATGTGCCAAGTGCATACAGCGTCAACGGAGCTCCCTAGGTTCTCTTATTTAATAGTTGAAAACGCAGTTAACATTTTTTCCCCTGCGTACAAGGAACGCCATCAGGTTATACTTGACACACCCAAGAATTTTATCGTTGTGTAACTCTTAAAGACACCCGTACGTACCTTCGTAGTCAGTCCTTTCGATTGTGCGCTTAATAAAAATCTGCATGCATCGTGACGAACCAAATTTTCGCCATCCGAGAAACTTTACTATCCGCATTTTTTTGAAATTTTTTCTTTCTTTCAGTGATTTTAATTTTTTTTTAATTGTTTATCGATTATCGATTGTTAATCTGATTTTTACATTTATCATAACAGCATTTCGTCATTACAGAAAAATATATTTCGCATTTGTGTGTATGAAATTATAGAATTATAGAAGCTTTTAATTACAAAATTATAGAAACTTTTAATTACAACATTGTTAGTTGTTGATGGAAGTGAGATATAAAAAAGAGAGAGAGAGATATATATATATACACGATATATTTAATAAAATATATTATATAAATTGTATATTTTTGTCTCGAACTTTATTTTGGTATATTATTTGATGAAAATAACTCTCTGTATTTCGTCAATTCTTGTGTGGATATAACGGGAACTCTTGGCTCGTGCCACCATCATATGTTTCAGCTTCTAGGATCCTAAACTGCACGTACGAGGATTACGCGTTGCGCATACCTGACACGTGGAGAGTGCCGTGGACCACCGCCCAAGTCCACCTTTCACAATATAATCCGCAATCTACGCGATCTCGTTGCGCGATCAAGTGCCTGCTGTCCAATCGAGCACATATGTATCGAGAGAAAAGTTTGATGCAGCTCCTTTTCCTTTCGAACTTCCACAAATCGATCAGAATCATATCGCGATTATTAAAATAAAATACTTGTAAAATTAATTGAAACGTGATTAAAATAAAAATACACGCGCGTATAACATTTTGAAAAAATAAAGTCAATTTGTTTATTGTTAAAATGTTATAACTAATATTGCGTAAAGTAGATAACATAACGCATTGCAAGTGCATATAGAGTTCATGTACATTCTGTAATAATATTTCAAAACGATAGTCTTTTGAAAAAAATATGCAAACACGATAGCATGCACGCAAACATACCTAATAGTTTGTTGACTTTGATAACGACCAAGTTTTCATTTCCTTGTCTTTTATATACATTTTATCGCGATGCGGTACGCGTGCATGTAGTATCCGCGTTCACTCTCGAGACATTCTGATGCAAGGCGTGGTGCGTCGGTCCGGTGCGCCAGATGTCGGCAGAACTTGCTTTCCTTTATCGGGATAATGAACACATATAGCTTTCCTCTTTTTGTGGTAACCATATAATTATAAAACGACTCGATTCGCTAAGCCCGTCGCCAAAAGGTCATCTATATCTCTCATTAAAACATGATGTGACATTGCATTAAAATAATTATGTTTTCAGCGTTTCGAATTTTTACATTCTATTTCTTTAATCGATGCATTAATCTGCTTGAGATATATCATACATCCGTGAATCGCGATACGTGAGAAAATAAATAGAAGAGAATATGTATAAATATCCGCTTCTCGTCATACTTGCATCGTTGCTAATTATTCACGTAATTCACACACGCGACCTTAAATAAATTTCGATCAATTACAATGAGTAAGAACAGCATCTTCATTTACGCTCGTTTCTCACGTTAAAAAATATATGTATAAAACTCGTAATGTACTTAATTAACATGGGCAACGATATGTTTTCTTTAAAGATTAGATTTATTTTCATCTCAATTTTCACACACACACACATTAGTATCTATTATACTATTTTTAGTTTTTGACATTGATCAGGTTAATAAGACTACATATTGATAGCATAATAAATTCTTGCAACTTACAATTAATTTTACTTTTGAGAGATTTAATTATTTTTCTACATTATATAGTTCAATATGAAAGAATAATCGTTGATATTATTTTACGAATAATTTCCTGATATCACACTTTTGGTCATTTCAATATTAAACTTACATCACAGGGCATAAAATAAATGTAACAGGTTAAAATTACGTGTAAAACGTAAGTAAGATGAATGCAGACTTATACGAAAGGTCATCTATATCTCTCATTAAAACATGATGTGACATTGCATTAAAATAATTATGTTTTCAGCGTTTCGAATTTTTACATTCTATTTCTTTAATCGATGCATTAATCTGCTTGAGATATATCATACATCCGTGAATCGCGATACGTGAGAAAATAAATAGAAGAGAATATGTATAAATATCCGCTTCTCGTCATACTTGCATCGTTGCTAATTATTCACGTAATTTACACGCGCGACCTTAAATAAATTTCGATCAATTACAATGAGTAAGAACAGCATCTTCATTTACGCTCGTTTCTCACGTTAAAAAATATATGTATAAAACTCGTAATGTACTTAATTAACATGGGCAACGATATGTTTTCTTTAAAGATTAGATTTATTTTCATCTCAATTTTCACACACACACACATTAGTATCTATTATACTATTTTTAGTTTTTGACATTGATCAGGTTAATAAGACTACATATTGATAGCATAATAAATTCTTGCAACTTACAATTAATTTTACTCTTTTGAGAGATTTAATTATTTTTCTACATTATATAGTTCAATATGAAAGAATAATCGTTGATATTATTTTACGAATAATTTCCTGATATCCAAAAATTTTGGTCATTTCAATATTAAATCACATCACAGGGCACAAAATAAATGTAACAGGTTAAAATTACGTGTAAAACGTAAGTAAGATGAATGCAGACTTATACGTAACAAACCCATATTGGTATTTGTCTAAACAGGCGCGTGTGCCCCGAGGATAGAGAATGACTCTTTTATGTTTTAGATAATCCAGACGCTAATCACATCACCTTTTTGTATAGCAACCACATTATCGAGTTCTTGCGAATCAGAATTCGAGCCGTGCGAGTGATGTGATCGACTTGTCGTTGGGCGCGGGCAATTGCTTCTGACTGTTGCATAAAAATAGAAAGCATTGTAACATTAATCTCGGAGAAAATTGCTCGAGGAATAGAAAAATCGATAGAAAATTGCGTTTTGATATTCGGGAAAAATTCTTACCAAACTTGATTAAAAGTAGAATGCTAAGTTCATATAAATGAAAAACGCACCATCTTAGACAGTATTCCTGGATGCTCTATGATGACATATCGAGAAATTAATTTGACTTAAAATGATCCACATTAGTAAATATCAGGGCTGGTGATGTCATGACTGTTTTTGAAAATATTGACTCGAGAATGGTGAGACTCTCAGTTATTGTAAATACTTTAATCGTAAATCTTCCATTCTTCGTAGCAAATTATAAAGTATTTTATTTTTATAGGAATAGATATCATTTTCTGAATTAGAAAGATATTTACGACGTGATCTCTTCATCTAATCTTTCTTAAAATACTTGTATAATTACAAATTTAATACGTTTTTATGTTTAAATATATTTTGAAGACTGTTATAAAAATATTTAAATGTACTATTTATTTTTGTTGAATTTTTGTGAAAAATATTTAACTAAAAATATCATCTGAAATTTTTTATCAATATTTTTGTGGTGCTAATATTTAGTAATACGTTACTGCTCCCTCAATCAAAACGATCGGCATTAATTAATATCGTTTTAGTAAGTTAATTAATCAATGATTAATTCAACGAGACTTTAGAAGCTAAAACATCGTATCGTTAATACAATCGGGGAGATTATATAATTTTGCCTAACTAAGACTAGTGATTAAACTAATTGATTTATTATAGGATCAACAATTATACCTTTTTTTCGATGCTCATACAAAATTGACCGGTCTTGAGCTTCTTTTCCTTTCACTGAGTGGCATTGGGGCACGCCGCAAGATAGATCTTTGGCGGAACGAAATTGTGAATGCAGGCATAATGTGGGTCGTTCGCAAGCAATAATGGCCGGTCTTAATCGCGAGATATGCCTCGTAGAAGTCTTCGTTAAACTGCACCAACGTAATCGTCTTTAGGACCTTGAGGACATAATTGCGTTACAAGCATGGGAAATAAAAAGCTTCCTTGCTCTTCTTTCTTTATTCTTTTCATTTAAACATATTCACTTTACAAATTTATATTTCGCATATCTCATATATCTTCATATATATCTATCTTCTGTGTATTATATACAATAAATAATCTAATTTAATTATTATTATTAATTATTATTGAATACAGCAGCGTTAACTTGTTTACATATTATAAGTATTAATTAACGCATAGAGCAATGAGAAAAATTAACGAAACAAGAAGTGGTAATATTGGTCAGCCAGCCGTCCAATGGGCCGATAGAAAGTTGCAAAATGTCTCCATCCATCGAATAATTTTATAGGCGGAACTCAGGTGATCCGCAGTGCGTTTCGCAAACTCGGGTGAAAACACTGCGAGTGATCGACTGGTCTGCAAAGGCCGTACTCCATTTTACCGAATCGTTATTCAACCTTGTATTCGGTCAGTTTCAAGGAGACGAATGGGAGTCACGCCGTTATATTTTGAGACCCAATGCCGTAACATCCGTTCTTATAGACTGCGCGGAATTTAATGCAAAACCAGATAGTCAAATTTTTAATCTTCGGTCACAAATATGGGTACAATCAAATCAAGAGGCGGAGCGATATGTAATAATACTTTCTCTTTTTCGAGATACTACTTGAACAAGAACGAAAGTGTGTGTCACGGGGCAGAACGTATTGTTAAGATTGATATTATGTAAACTCGATGCTTCAAATTGTGGTCAATTATACTTGATTTTTCAGTGAACAATCTCTTCTATAATTTACGCGCTCGTAGAAAGATTTCGAAAAGATGAAAAGTACTTTCAATAACATAACCCGTAAAAAAACTTACGCTTCCTCATTAAATTTAATAATTGATAGTCAAGCATGAAACTCATAAGAGATCTCGATTGCCTTGATAAATAATAATTTTACCTCTCGAGAGTTCTCGACAAGCTTATTTATTAAGAGACCTACATTTGATTGTACGCTGATAAAGAAGTTACAAGCTCTTAAATTAGAAGATGATATAACTTTTAAATAAAATATTTGCATATCAAGTTATATTTATTCTATAACTAATAATTTCTTATCACTGTAATCTCCGACGTCTAAGTTTCTAAAACAGACACAAGTAAAATATTTAATACACAAGTTGCAGATTGATTTCGAATTTGTATAAACAAAAATATGTATGCTCTCAAAACGGTTATACTAACGTGCGTGATACAGGAATTGTAGAACCCGTAAAGTTAATGGTTAAAAACTGGATTTAAAATTGCTCCGAAAGATCAAACGACATGGCGTTGATAAAATCGCTCGTTTTTTTTATACCACGGTTGGACGGCGAAACAGTAGCCAGCCAATAAGAACGGGTGCACTTGTCAAATTATTTGAAACGGTGCTCTTGCCGTTTCTCTTTCGTGGCCCCAATCTGTGTCGCCAGTTTTACATAATATCTCACCTTAGAAACTCGGCACACCAGTTCCATAAAACCGATTCAATTTTTCATCCGAGCGAGTTACATGATAATCGACTACCAATTTCTATGTATATAAAATTTATTTATTCGCGTTCAGCGCAGAAAATTATTATCGGGCAAAGGAAATTTTTCCAAACTTATCATATCTATTCTCAGAACCGTCTCGTATTTTTAATTATACAAGAAATAGAAAACAATATTCTTTTTTTTTTAAATCGATTCTTTTGTTAATTAAATCGATTCTTTTGTTTTTAATCGATGGACAGCTTATAAGAATTAATGACAAAATTCTATCCGCGTTGTCGATCCGCGGATCGATTAACCGGGCGACAATTTTCCAGATTTCCGAGAAACCAGAATAAGCTGGTGGGGAATATTTAGGGGATATAAGGTGCTGTAACGAGACAAGGCGACCGTGCATACGTACAGGAGTACGAATAGATAGTGAAAGTCCCCCGGAGCTAACAGGAGAACAGAGAGAGGGAGCGGGGGGAGACCCAGTAAGGTATATGAGGGCCTCAGTCCGAGCAATCGCCGGTACTCTAGCCTCGCTGCCTACTTACATTCACACACACTAACACTACCACCGACCGCGGGGAAACATGATGCACACCCTCGCGACGGTACGTATCTGAGTGCATCTCATCAACAATCACTGATGTCGTCATTACACTCTTCCTAGTTTTCGTAGTTGCCTATCATGGATCTTTATCGCGCTATGAAAAAGCCTTTGAACGTGAGCGCGGAATCGCGTGTGATGTGATTGTGACTGTGATCAGTGTATATCTATATTGTGAGCCCGACAAAACCGCTTGGAAAATTTACACGCGAGTTCTGAGAGAGAAATTTGCTCTGATTTTCAAATATCTTGTCTTATCATTCAGCAGATTTTTATATTTCTCGATTTCCCATTTTTTATGATTTTATATTGTCAGAAGTGAAAATTGTTTTATAGAATGCTATGAATATTACTATTCATATCACAGTTTATTGCAAAAATTTCTACAATTAAAGGCAATTTAAAAAAGAAATCGAGACTTTCATATCGGAGAATGATGTTAATAACCGGTCGCATTTCCTTTCGAGTTTTTACGTCAATTCATTAATATTTAATTTCATTTTTTCTTCTGTCATTTACGACTCTAATCATCGAGATCGACATTAAATTCCCGGCAAGAAACTAAACGATCGCAACGTCGGCGGCATTAAACGCATAATCTTGGTCGCGTTGCGCAACTCTCGTGTGTGATCTCGTTTCCTACTTTCTTCTACGTCGAGGAAAAATTTATTAAGGTTTCACCGATTATAACGCGCCAGCGCCGAGACGCGTTCATTTTTATATTGTTCGCGGAAAAAGAATTATATAATTCGTTATTATGTTCGTGAGCGTGGTCGCGTGCGATGGCCGGAGGATACGAGCAATTGTCGAGACCGGTTGCACCAGCATTGGTTAACCATGGCGAATTAACCACATGGTGCGCCATACAAGGCATGAACTAATCTTTTTCATTCTCCTCACCGTTTTTCCTGCGGTAAAAAATACTATGCATTTAAAATATTTTTTTCTCTCACAAAAAAATTATATAGAATAGAGGAAAAAGAAAAAGAAATTTCAGTCTATAGTTTTTATATATACTGTGAAATTTGAATTTTCTAAGAGCATGCAGAAAATATAAACGGAGCATAGAGGATATATATAATACAATTGAAATCAAGATTGCGAATTAATATCAAATTAGCAGTGCAATTATTCGTACGTATATATATTTAGTATTATAATTATACTATCATTGGGGAAATAAAAATGTTTATGCTACATAATAAGCTAACAATGTAATACATAATTATGTAAATATAAATAGTAGCACGGTATGAATAATGGCACAAACATAAGCGAATAATCTTCGAAAGGCGGAGAATTAATTAATAGCTTTAATTAATCGGAATTGCTTAATTGGATTCCAATCTTATCGCGGCATTTCACACTCACCTATTTAGAATTACAGGAAGCATAATATGCAGATCGAATGAATGAATTAATTGTTCTTGTTAATTTTAGAATCGGCACGCGTCTCGTAATCGCGTACGAGATAGAGGACACGCACGGTCACGCGTGAAAGATGGCAATTAATAACTTGATTTATTGACATTTTGATATGCGCATTCATAGGGCGAGTTCCGCGACTCGAGACCTGTTTACTGTCGCAACAATGGAGGCGATCGCGGAATCCGGTACGGTTTCGAGCTATTTGCAGTCCATTCTCAATCGTGTCGCAACGCGTGTGACGGTTAAGGTTCTCCAGATATATATCTGTCTTAAGTTCACACGTCAGCGCATGGTGATATAACATTTTCATGAGATTAACGGGGTTCACAACTTCGTGACGCTACTTAAACACCTCGCGCTACGCGTCAAGAAATTCCCGTTTTATTTCGTGTCAAACCTTGACGTTTTTTCTTATGTGTGCAAGTGACAGACATCGTTGCAATCACAATGACACATAAAAATCAATAAATTTAGCGACTCTAAGGAGAAGTCGTAAAATGTTCGGTTATCGTTGTCCTGAATTACTTGCTGCAATATTTGTATATAATTTTTGTAAACTCTATCACTTTAAATTAAAAAAAAAAAAATTAATTTCTAAATTAAATCTAAATAAAAAATATTTGTTTGTAATATGCATGATTTAATATAGTAATTATTAAATTTAATATAAAAAATCTAAAACTAAGAGAGAAAGCTAGTTAAATATGCAACTAGCAAGTTATAATGAAAAATTAAAACACTGTTACCTTCTTGATGTATTAACATCCACAGACACAATCTACATGCTTTAAATATAACATATTGCAAAAAGCACCAAACACTGACAGCATTTCTATGTTTCAGGTAGCAACAGTACTTGCCGCGCTGCTGGCAGTGTCGGCGCAGCAGTACCAACAAGCCGGCGGTAATTACGTCGACGATTATGCCCAGTATGACTCGCAACAACCGAGCCAGCCTACCCCGCGTAGTTACGCGACCAACGAGGCACCGGCCCGTCAATCGGCCGCACCGGCAAATCCGAAGCCGACTCCGGTGGCGATCCTGAAGCAGATAAATCGCCACAATGAAGACGGCTCATACACATACGGTTTTGAGGGCGCTGACGGTTCCTTCAAGATCGAGACCAAGCTGCCGACCGGTGACGTCAAGGGCAAGTACGGCTTCGTCGACGACACCGGCAAGGTCCGCATAGTCGAATACGGCGCGAATCAGTACGGCTTCCAGCCAGCCGGTGACGGTATCACCGTCGCCCCGCCGACCCTGTTCGACGAGACCACCAGCAAGGAGGCTCTCGACGCGCAGGCTTACGAAGAGTATCAACAGCGGCAACAGCAGCAGCAACAGGCGGCCGCACGTCCGGCTTATCAACCACCACCGTCTCAATCGCACACTCAGGCCGTGTACGCTCCAGCGCAAGTAGCCCCGAGCAGACCGGCTCTACCTAAACCACCCATCTTCACGCCGGCTGCTGCCCAGGAACAGCAACGGTCTCAGCTGGTGCAACATAATCCGGCTTACGATGAGCCTGCGCCGGCCTCGCAGCTCTACAATCAGGGACCAGCACAGTTCGGCCCGGCGCCGAATCAGGAACGCCGTGCCCAGCCGCAGGCCCGCAGCGGTAGCGGCATCCTGGACCAGCTCGCCAGGGACTACGCTTTGCCTCAGGGAGTGGCACCACCGCTGCACGACATCAGCTTCGGCTATTACTAGTCCTACTCCTTTTGTCTAACGAAGACGGAAGAGTCTGAGATCGATCGCGTTGCTAAAAAATTTTATAAGCTATTAAAGAAATTATTTTTTTTTTTTTATAGACAAGATATCTACTTGATATTATATTTTAATGTTAATTTTATACAACAATTAAGGGTTAGAATTGTTGCGACTGATTTCGGCCTCGTCTGTATCCCGGTTGCGTGTTGGTCTTATATTTTATTCGTGAACGAGAGACGATGACTAATTAATCCATCAATAATCATGTACGACGTAATCCGCTTCCTTCAAAGTCAGCGACGATGTGATTAATGATTGTCGCGAACATAGACCGTCCATTATTTGAAAATCGAGAACTATTGTATTGATGTTTGATATCGCGAGGCGAAAGCTAAGATTCCATCTCATTCATTGCACAATTTCTTATATTAATTATACAATATTTCCTATTCTATTTAATTAAGAATCAAGATGCATTAAAACAGAAATCATAGATCTCATCTATTTCATAATATAAAAAAATCTGATAAATGATGTTAAAGGTCAATTCGCTGGTATAAATCAAATAAATTTTAGCGTATTTTTTTTTTAATTTTAGAAATTCAATAAAGTAATAAAAAAAAGTTTCTCAAAGTATCATAAAACTTGAAGTACTGACTTTCTGAGTAAACACTAACGTTTAGATCTTCGACTTTATACTTCAACGATCATGATTAGTTGCTTTCATGGATCTATCAAGTTATAATATTAGGGAGTTTTTTGATGTTATCTTTTTATAAATTATTGTTATACATTTCACGAGTCATCAAAAAATTATTTGAATAAACAGTTGTAACGAGAGAAGTTGTAAAAATTTTACATTTTATGTAAATGGTGTAAATAAAAAAATTTCTCGTTTCCCCCTTTTCGGTGGGTGTCCACGTTCGTTTTTACTCTAGGAAACGTGGCTCGCCTTAAGAACTTACCAGTGAAGTACCGTTGCGTTAGAACTGCGTATTCACGACGAAGTCCCGAAGAATGTATCTTAATTGGACGCGCTTATTTTACTGTAATTAGATTATTGTAAGGTAATTCGAGTGGAATAAAGTAAGGCCAATACTAAATTCCGTCATCTACTATATGGAACGCGTAAGACACCCGTACAATGCCGGTGTAATAAAATTTCCTGGTTTCACCTCTCCAATTATGCCTCTCGTTAAGCATAAAGGCTTTCAATGTTCATATTTGTTGAACGCATAAAAGAGTACACACTTCCGCTGCGTAATAATTTATACTCAATCCTAAATTATCGTCCTTCGCATATTGTGAGAACACGGTAAAAAATTGAGTTTGGATTGCATACAACAATCACGGTACAGAATTCGATTGTATCGTTATTTTACCTAAGAAACACATCAAACTTCGACACTCGTGATAACTTCTTTTAGCGTTAAACGCTTATATCTCAAGATTTATAATATTTTAAAGTTTCTATATAAAAAATTATTTGTTTTACACAACTAATTTTATTCTGTTTAAAAAATGCATCTATTATCAAATATTTTGTGTGTAATTCTGTAAATATTTTATTTTTGAAAATATTCTCGAGAGAAGAACTCTTTTATCATAGATATTTTTTTTTAATTCTATCGCAATATCTTTTTTTTTATTTTTCAATACTCTTGTATCCATAATTTAAAAACGCCTGATGCAATGACGACCAAAGTCACATTGTTGCAGAAACGACTGCATGCGGTTGCGATTTTATCTTTTCCCTCTTCGACTTCCATAAAGATTGCGAAATATCGCGAGCAGAGACCAGTCGGATTTCTCACAGGATAAATTCTCGCGTCGCGCAGAATCTGGCCTTTATCTCTTCTTCTACTTTTGGATTACCAAAATCACATGTTCCCACGCCCTCTTTACTGCATACGAATGGGGTTTCTCGTAATTTCGCCACAATGGCGATTCGGCAAATGTTTCTAGAAACATCCGTCATTTCTAGAAGTATCTATCTAGTACCGAGACTTGTATTGCACTTAACAAAGGGGAGTTCTACTTTCATTCTGAGAAAGTCTCAAGGTGAGCAAGGCCGCGTTATACTTTTCTATCTTTAGAAGTTTTCAACGGCCGATTCAACGCAAAAATTCAACGCGCGTATGCTAAGTGTATAATATTCTAAATTCTTGATAAAACGCGATCTTGCTGATTCCGCAATTTCTACATGTTTTTAACTTCCGATATCTTTCGTAACGAGTAACTAGAAATAAGCTTATGCAAAGTAGACACGATAGACATTTTCCCCATCTATTTATTATAATTATATGAGTCTACTATAATTATTTATTGCTATATATATAATTAATTTATTTTAAAATTTATGCTTTTGCATAATCTATAATTGTCTCATATTTGTAATTTCTGCAGCACATTTTCTTGTAGTTCTTTTTCTTTTATTACAAAAATACAATAATCTTATTCTTGTTTGCATTATTTATGCCGTTGTATTGCACATTTCAAGGGTCGCGTTCCAAAGCGCATAATAAATACCTTCTTTCTCTCTCCCATCACGTACCGCGATTTGCAAGGTGAAGAGTCGCATACTCGTGCACTCGCCTGTCAACGAAGGTCGTCTTTCGTATATTAATACGAAATGTAATTGTAAGAGTAAGATCGTTTTCACGATTACAGGACAAATTGCAATGACAACCTGGCGTTGCGCCAAATGATCGTATAAATGCAACAACCTATCGAAGATGCAACGTTTGCATAACAGTATCTATATATATATATATATATTGATACATTGCCAGTAGTAAAGTATACCTGTTGACACTCATTCCTTAGAAAGCTGAAACATGTATCGAGATAATGCCTATTACGCGACCTTAATTATCTAATTAAAATCATTATTATTTTTATTGAATTGCGAAGTCTCGAATAGTAATAATGATTCGATAATGAAGTATATGGTTGTCGTGTCATGAGATTTGTAAAATCACACGAGATTAAAAGCGCTACTCGTAACGGGCCGTTGACACTTGTCAGCCAGGCGAGTCACGCAAAACGTTCCATCGGATTTCAACATTAGACGACAGACTGGCAGGCTTCACCTACCTAGCTCGATTGAATTTATGCTCTCCGTAGGAGTTGCACGAAATCTACGATAATGCAAGCGTTGATGCAAGCGATCGTGACTCTCGATCGAGACTCGGTGAAAATTTGGGAAAGAAATAATTAAAATGTTCCTATCGTAATTTTACACAATTTACAAGATGCAATTTACTTATATATCTATCTAATCTTCTTTTACAATTTATTAATCTTAAGAACTTTCTAAATTTATTTATTATATTTCTATATTTATTTTCTGTTCAATTTTTAAGTTTTTATATTTAAAGCTATCATTAATAAATGTGTGTTGTTCAAATAACTTGGTTAGTTGATCGCGAAGAAACGTTGTGTAATTTATGACGATAATTAATAACGACGAATTCCACGTAAATGCGTAACAGAGTGTGATAGTATCCGTTGAATAAATTTTTGCGCAATACCAGAAATAAAACTGATTAAATTACAAAGTTTGCACGCACGTTACGGAGAGGGTAACTAAGATATGTAATGCTAGCATAAAGACCGATCTGTGTAGTGCGAGCGTGAAAATAGCCACGTGAAAATAACTTTCCCCTTCGAAAGTTTTAAGACGGTCAGCTGAGCGCCGCGAAATCTGCTCGCGATCACGTCAGGAAGTGCGGCAGCATTGATAATGTGAATTATGTATGTATAGACACGTAATCAAGATATCTATCACGCGATATATACATATACATATAACATTCTGTTAATAATTATGAATTATTGTAAATTATTTTCTCTTTTTTTTATGATAAAAATTCCTTCTCGAGTTTTTTTCTTACACGTATTCGAAAACTTCATGCTTTTATATTTATTAACTATATTACAGCTTGCTCTGAAATATATATCTTAAATCACACGGGGAGATTGTAAGACATTATAAAAAATTGGACAAATTTTATTTGTATAATTTTAAAAAATGTCAAAATATACACACAATTATTAATTATTAATAGTAACGATTATTTAATAAAATGAAGAGATTTGTCTTAGTTGCTATAATAACGTAAATGCGTCCACTAATTATACAAGCTTTACTCATTACTGTAGAACAACTTTCATTCCAGTCAAATAACATTATATACGGGTAGGTCAAGCCAAAGCTAGAGACGATCAGCTGAGCGTGCGGCAGAAAATACCGCAGCATTGATAATGAACCGAGTGTCTAGGCACGTGCCACTGCTCGTGCGCTCCGATCCTCGCGAGGAGATGAATCGATGCCCCAAGAAGTAATAACATCGTGTGCCGGCGGCGCCGCAAACTCACCCATTCGCCTCGTCTTTCCATTGATGATACCGAGAGCGAACTCGAATACGCCTCCATCCGATTTAATGAAAGCGACTGAACGCGATTTCTTGCAAGAAACCGGCTTCGCGATATTGGCATAAATCGCGCGACGAAATAATTGTCCTCTGTTGCTGCACAACTTTATTTAGTACTAAAAAGTTTTATGACAATTTCGCAAAATTTTGAAAACCAGTTGAGACATGAAAGTCCACAATTCTCGTGTAATTAAAATATCTAACTTTATTTTATACTCACGAGGAAATGTAATTAATAAAAAATGCGGCGCAGTTGCATTTTATTATTATTGTTTGCAAAAATTTTTTGATTTGATATTAATTTTAAAAATTGGTCGAATTTATTGACGGATAATCAATGATATTTGCCGTTTTTCTTATTCGACAAGCTGACAGATGTGAAACCGATGATTGTATCGATTACGTTCTAAGTACTCTTCCGTCCATGATACACGAGCGAAAGTACTTTATTATTAGAGATGGTGCGAATGCTTCGCAACTACCGTAAGAAAATAGGAGCATCAATTACCCTGCGATTCTCCCAAATTAATATACATCGTTCTCGCGGTACCCGAGACGTTAGCCACAATGTTAGCCACTCTACACGATCTCGCCGTCACTTTCTTCTTCTCGCTAGTATGCGCGTTGTATCGTATTTATGATCCACTAGATTAGCAATTTACAAGCCCGTTCCTG